GGGTTTTCTGACGCGTCACCGTCCACTTCGGAAACTGTTTCGCAACTGATCACTCGGAAAATTAAGAAACAGTTCCTGAGAGCGACAGAAACGCAGGATCTGACACGGCAAAAACTGGACCTCACACTTTACTCATCAAGAAGAAGAATTACAAGAATGTGATTATAAGTGAATTACAAGAATATTCCCGTCATTGCCACAGACAGAGAAGTGTGAAGCAGCTTCCTCCAGGCTAATGAAGCTCATTGAAGCAGCAGTTATAGGAAACAAGGCATCTGATTGGTCTGTTATTATCAAGATCGACGTACGTCACTGTTGGGGTTCATTAAACGTTGGAATTTGACGAGTGACGATCTGCTCGCACTTCACCTCGCGAAACCACAGCCGCGTTCAACGCGAAGGCGACTCCCCGGCAGCTTTAGCGGAACGTACGGGCTCTTGTGTCTCTCAATGGGAAAGTCAATTAAACTTGACTGGGCCTGCGTTTAGCTGCTTGTTATTTACCTTCTGTACAGGTGACCACGGCAAACGCAAGGTTTCAAAAGTATTTCAAACCACTAATTAACAGTGTATGTGGATCTGGGCTCTTTCACATGAACACAACTGCCAGGGAGCACAATGTGCTGATGGTAAATGCACAAATACAACAACAGATACATGCTCTGTGGATTTTGACGGGGATACGCGCCTACGCTCGTGTAGAGCGTCAAAAAATAGGATGGATCCTATTTTCTGAAATCTACACGCACAGGACGTGCTGCTCCGCGCGCGTATTATTTTACTTGGTACATGTGTCAGTAACGCGCGTCACAATGCTTTTTTAACCTGGATTGAAATGGTGGGTTTTTCGTTTTTCTTCATACAAATTTGCTAAAATCACCGCCCGCGATATCAGCAGCGGTGAAACGCCGGAGGTGCGCCTGCGTAGACCGTGATCCTGAGCGAAAGGACCGACGCAGAAGTCCGCGCTCCACCGAACTAAACGCAGCTGACGCCCGATCGCACTCGGGGTTCTCTCAGAGACGGTCCTAGATTCCAAGTTCTAGTCCTAGTTTGGTCCTGGTTTAGTCTTGTTTAGTATTGGTTCAGTTCTGGTTTAGACCTGGTTTAGTCCTGGTTCAATTCTGGTTTAGTCTTGGTTATTCCTGTTTAGACTGATTCAGTCCTGGTTCAGTTTGGTTTAGTCCTGGTTTACCTGGTTTAGACCTGGTTCAGTCTTGTTTAGTCCTGCTTCAGTTCTGGTTTAGACCTGGTTCAGTCCTGATTTAGACCTGGTTTAGTCCTGGTTTAGACCTGGTTCACTGGTTCAGTCCTGATTTAGACCTGGTTCAGTTCTGGTTTAGTCCTGCTTCAGTTCTGGTTTAGACCTGGTTTTAGTCCTGGTTTAGACCTGGTTCAGTTCTGATATAGACCTGGTTTAGTCCTGGTTTAGACCTAGTTCAGTTCTGGTTTAGTCCTGGTTCACTGGTTTAGTCCTGCTTTAGTCCTGCTTTAGACCTGGTTTAGTCCTGGTTTAGTCCTTGTTCAGTCCTGGTTCAGTCCATATACGGCACAAAAGTTCAGCATCTTAACAGTTCTTTTGGTGAGTAAATTAAAAGTGCTGTAATAGTCGTGTCATGTTTACATTTTAAATGCAGTAATATTGTAATGTAACAAATGAGTTTGAAATGACAGTAACAAGTCATAAATAAAACATTACAGTTTTAAAGTCACTTGTCCAACAGTGGATCTTGTAAAGTTGTTGTAAACTAGAAGTCAGTTTGAAAAATAAATGCAGCCTTTCATTTACAGATCTCATCTAAATATAAAATGAACTGAACTTTGAACTAGTTCAAAATTAAAATTGTGAACTATTCACTTTGAACAAGTGTGAACTGAACTTTGAACTAGTTCATGAAAAGTGTGAACTTGCACAACACTGCTGATTGGTCTGTTATTAAAGCTCAGATCTTGATTTAGGGACAAATTTGACTCTTATTGGAATTATTTTGTATTTTTATGTCTTATTTATAGCAGTCGATCAATGAATCCTGGTCCAGATCCTGGTCCAGACCCCGTTTGGGCCTCAGTCCAGTCTGTTTACAGCACTTCACATGTTTATGTAGATACTGAAGCACAGGGAGGAGACACGAGCAAGTCCTGGTTTAGACCTGGTTTAGTCCTGGTTTAGTCCTGGTTTAGTCCTGGTTTAGACCTGGTTTAGTCCTGGTTTAGTCCTGGTTTAGACCTGGTTTAGTCCTGGTTTAGACCTGGTTTAGTCCTGGTTTAGACCTGGTTTAGACCTGGTTTAGACCTGGTTTAGACCTGGTTTAGACCTGGTTTAGACCAGGTTTAGTCCTGGTTTAGACCTGGTTTAGACCTGGTTTAGACCAGGTTTAGACCAGGTTTAGTCCTGGTTTAGTCCTGGTGTGTTTGTGAGGTCATTGCGCCCTCTGCTGGTGTTTGTTGACAGTTAAGTTTGTGCAGTTTGGACTTTTACTGCTGAACCACAGTACTACAGAGTACACAATACAACACAGTACCACAGTACTACAGAGTACATAGTACCACAGTACTTCAGTGGGAGTATGTTGCAGTATCAGCTGCTCAAAGAAAAGTATTTTCTAAACTCTTCTTTTGTTTTGTTTTTTTGAGGAGAAAGATCAAAGTCGTCTCAAGTCGGGTCTGAGTCTTCGCGTCTGCTACTCGAGACAGGATCTGACACGGCAAAAACTGGACCTCAGACTTTACTCATCAAAAAGAAGAATGACAAGAATGTGACACAAGTGTGAGGCAGCTTCCTCCAGGCTAATGAAGCTCATCGAGGTGGCAGTTATAGGAAAGAAGGCGTCTGATTGGTCTGTTATTAAAGTTCAGATCTTGATTTAGGGACAAATTTGATTCTTATTGGAGTTATTTTGTATTTTTATGTCTTATTTATAATAGTCTATTAGCAGTGTTGGGAAGGTTACTTTTAAAATGTAATCCCCTACAGATTACAGATTACACACCCCAAAATGTAGTTTGTAACGTAATCCATTAAATTACTTAAAGTGAGTAACGTAATCTGATTACTTTGGATTACTTGATATTGTCATGTTTTTTTAAACGACATGAATGTAGCAAACACATCCTCAAAATTCTTGTTTGTTGTCTTCAAATTGTCTGAGCCCAAGTCTCCATGAATAAACAACTGTTTACTGTAGAGAAACAAAGACCACGAGATCTTAATATAAGAGGTTTTGTCTGTTAAAAGACAGAAACAAGATCAGCTTTTCCTTCACCATATTAAAAAATATTATTGATAGAGAAATAATTTTTTATATGAGATCACCTTAAATTATGTCAACCTACTGTTAGGTGTCATGTTGTTTAAACCTGGTTTAGACCTGGTTTAGTCCTGGTTTAGTCCTGATTTTTAGACCAGGTCTTTAGTTCTGTTTTAGTCGTGGTTTAGTCCTAGTTTAAACCTGGTTCAGTCCTGCTTTAGTCCTGGTTTAGTCCTGGGTTAGTCCTGGTTTTAGTCCTGGTGTTAGTTCTGGTTTAGAGGTTCACAGGAGGAGGTTTACACGAGAAAACACGGTCCACACGCGGCGCACGAGACGGCGGTGTCCTCGCTGTAACTACGGAAGGAGACGTGGTCCGCGAGTTCTCAGGTTGATGATGATGATGAAGGTGTTTGTGTGTGTTTGTGTGTGTGTGTGTGTGTGTGTTTGTGTGTGTTTGTGTGTGTGTGTGTGTGTGTATAGGACAGTAGTGCAGATATTATGAGTCTATGCAGGTTGTTTTCACCAGTGCCAGTAGCTCCTGTTTCACATTTAAGTTGTAGGCGATTTTATTTTTGTTTTTTGTTTTTTATATATATCTCACATCGGGAGAAGAATTTCCAAGACACAAATGCGTTTTTACCAATGCACTGCTGCTTCCACTGTGTGACTGACACCGCCAACTTTAACATGACGTTTACATCGCTCTTATTGCCACGTTCTGTTTGGGCTTCAGGCAATGAGTGAAATTACCGAAATAAAAAAATAAATAAATGCGAGGTAGCACAAAATGTGAAAACAGGAAAATACCGCCTTGTAATCCACTTATTTCAGCAAAGTAACTGTAATCCAATTACCACTTATTGAAACAGTAACTGTAACGGAATACAGTTACTCATAATTTGTACTCTGATTACGTAACGGCGGTACATGTAATCCGTTACTCCCCAACACTGTCTATTAGTGAGTCCAGGTCCCGGTCCAGGTCCTGGTCCAGACCCCGTTTGGGCCTCAGTCCAGTCTGTTTACAGCACTTCACATGTTTATGTAGATACTGAAGCACAGGGAGGAGACACGAGCAAGTCCTGGTTTAGTCCTGGTTTAGTCCTGGTTTAGTCCTGGTTTAGCCCTGGTTTAGTCCTGGTTTAGTCCAGGTTTAGTCCTGGTTTAGTCCTGGTTTAGTCCTGGTTTAGACCAGGTTTAGTCCTGGTGTGTTTGTGAGGTTATTGCGCCCTCTGCTGGTGTTTGTTGAAAACTAAAGTTTGTGCAGTTTGGACTTTTACTGCTGAACCACAGAGGGGCGTTCATGTGCAGTACTACAGTACTACTACTACACAATACCACAGTACTACAGAGTACACAGTACTACAGGACTACATAGTACTACACAGTACTACTACTACACAATACCACAGTACTACAGAGTACACAGTACTTCAGTGGGAGCATGTTGCAGTATCAGCTGCTCAGAGAAAAGTATTTTCTAAAATCTTGTTTTTGTTTTGTTTTTTTGAGGAGAAAGATCAAAGTCGCCTCAGGTCACTGCCTCGAGTCTGAGTCCTCCCCTCTGCTAACTCGAGGCACTGCTCTGTCTGAAGCTCTGTCACTCAGGTCGACTTGAATCTGAGTTTTATCCAAACCAAAACCAGACACATGATCCGGCTCCAGGAAAGTGACGTCCTGTTCAACAGCTCCTCCCTCCCAAAGATCTGCCTCCTCACTCAGACTCATCATCATCATCACCATCATCAACATCGTCACGCTGCTAAATATCATAAACACCAGGGATCTCCGACCTGTTTCCTCCACTGAGCTCCTTTACAAAACAGAAATGTCAGAGCTCATCATCTCAGTGATCACAAGAAGTAAAGAACAGAAAGAGAAAGAGCCACAGCAAAACTTAGACGGGGAACAGTTAAATAAAACAACATAAACTATTATTTATTTCTGAGTGCACAAAATCAGGCATCAAAATGATAGAATTACAATAATAAAAGACATTTAATTCATCAAGGTTTAGTTTTTCAGAACAACACGTGTAATTCAGAAATCCTCCGGTGAAACACTTGAAGAGTGACCGGTAACTCCTGATCTACACAAAACAAAATGGACTCAAAACAAACTAAATGTTCATCAGTAAATACAGAGATTTATAAACAATAAAACAGGTCCAAAACAAAAAAACTATTCAAACATAAAATATCTATAAGAAATAAAATATCATTCTCCCCTACACTCTCATACAATTCTTTATTTTATTAAGTAGATTTAGTTTGTGGTATTATCTTGTTTATTGTTTTGGTTTGTTTTCTTTCAATAGAAAAGTAGAAATTAAAAAAAAAAAAAATTAGCACTAGCGTTAGCATTAGCAGTTAGCATTAGCATTAGCATTAGCCAACAGTTTTTCAGTCTTTTTCATTTTTCGTGGCAAAACAAACTGAACAGAATCATGAGCAGTGCTGGGAAGGTGACTTTTAAAATATACTCCCCTACAGATTACAGATTACATACACCAAAATGTAGTTTGTAACGGAATCCATTAAATTACTTAAAGTGAGTAATGTAATCTGAATACTTTGGATTACTTGATTTGCTGTAGAGAAACAAAGATGAGGAAATCGTAACATAAGAAGTTTTGTCTGATAAAAGAAAATAAAAATTAAAAAAACAGACTTTACTGAACCAAATTAAAAATATTATTGATAGAAGACGAGAAGACACGTCCACACAGCAGGATTTAGTCCTGTTAAATCCTGTTTTAGTCCTGGCTTAGACCTGGTTTAGACCTGGTTTTAGTTCCGGTTTAGTCTTGGTTTAGACCTGGTTTTAGTTCCGGTTTAGTCTTGGTTTAGACCTGGTTTTAGACCTGGTTTTAGACTTGGTTTAGACCTGGTTTTAGACTTGGTTTTAGACCTGGTTTAGTGTTCGGCAATGAGTGGAGTTACTGAAGGGGGGGGAAAAAAGGGATATAGCCCAAAATGTGAAAACAGGAAAATACCTCTGTGTAATCCATTTATTTCAACAAAGTAACTGTAATCCAATTACCACTCACTGAAACAGTAACTGTAACTGAATACAGTTATTCATAATTTGTACTCTGATTACGTATCACCGGTACATGTAATCTGTTACTCCCCAACACTGATCATGAACGCTCTGATCACAGGAAATGAAAATGTGATTTTTCTTGAGTTTTTAAACTAGACTCTAAAACTTTCTGTGCGTCGTGTCTCCCTGGTATTAATGTGTAATATTAATAATATAATATTCCACCATAGACATACATGTAGAACACCCCCAGTGTAAAGTTCAATCTGTGAAATTCATTTAGCAAGATTTTCTTTAAATTCTCAAAGCGGGAGCCACATGAAGAGCTCTGAACTCACTCAGGGTTTAAGGCTCTTTATTCAGCAATTCTGTTTCACAATTTTGATGAAAAAATAAATACATTCCAAGTTTACAGTAAACGGAGATAATCTGTTAGAATTCAGAAATAAATACAGTTTTGTTTAATTTAACAAAATAAATAAATGTTTGAACAAATATTTAAATACACTGTACAAACTGGAGTTTAAACGTTCACTGAGATATAAATAAAAATACTAATTCTGAAACGTCTAAAATTACAAAAATAACAACAACAAAAAAACTGAAAACAGATGTGAACGAGACATTTGTGGAAATCCTGTTTTTCAGTTAAAATGAAATCAGCTCCTGAAATATTTTCCTAATTTCTCCAAACTTGTTTTTTGTGACAGTTCTGATGGAAGCTTCGTTAAACGTGTCGCTCGCCCCTGCACAGATCTGACCTGTGACTGACCTGACACAGACACGTTTAAACCAGCCACAATACTGAACTAAAACCGCTTCATAAAAGAAACAAACATCCTGAAACCAGCAGGAATCACCGAGTAAAACTTCAGAGGGTCAGTGAGGTACAAGTACTAGTAACAGTAGTAGTAACAGCAGTAGTAATTGCAGTATCAAGCAGGTCTTGGACTATTATATAAATGTAAAACTAGTTCATGTCGTCAATCTCTCCAGAAGAAATCTCCTCAGCAACAGACGAGGAGGTGGAGGAGAAGATGCTCGTGGTGGAAGAAGGTGGAGGAGGAGCTGTGGAGGAGGAGATGAAGGAGGAGCTGGAGCTGGAGGTGTCTGGCTCAGAGGTGGGTAGAGGAGCTCTGGAGGGGCTGGTGGTGAGCATAGAGAGCAGAGACCTCTTGGTGGGAGGAGTCTGAGTTTTAGCTCTATGAGTTTCTCTCTGAAAGAAAATAAAAACAAACAAACATCAGACATTTGAAGGTAGTTAAAGCCCCACTGTGTCACATTTTAGGCATAAAGGTTCAAATAAAAATGTAAAATATAAAGTTTGGAAGTAGTTTGTACTCACAGATAAGCTCTGGCGTGAGGCTTGACCCATTCGGCTCCGGGATGAACACAGAACAGGTATTTGTCGTCCATCTGAACTCTGAGAGACGAAGGAGAAAATGATTAAAAGACGAACGGACGAGTAAAAAGTAATACTGAATAATAAGTAGTAGTAGAAGCAGTAGTAGTAATATCAGTAGTAGTATCAGTAGTAGTAGTAGTAGTAGTAGTAGTAGTAGTAGTAGTAGTAGTAGTAGTAGTAGTAGTAGTAGTAGTAGTAGTAGTAGTAGCAGTAGTAGTAGTAGTAGTAGTAGTAGTAGTAGTAGTAGTAGTAGTAGTAGTAGTAGTAGTAGTAGTAGTAGTAGTAGTAGCAGTAGTAGTAGTAGTAGTAGTAGTAGTAGTAGTAGTAGTAGTAGTAGTAGTAGTAGTAGTAGTAGTAGTAGTAGTATCAGTAGTAGTAGTACAGTAGTAGCAGTAGTAGTAGTAGTAGTAGTAGTAGTAGTAGTAGTAGTAGTAGTAGTAGTCAGTAGTAGTAGTAGTAGTAGTAGTAGTAGTAGTAGTAGTAGTAGTAGTAGTAGTAGTAGTAGCAGTAGTAGTAGTAGTAGTAGTAGTAGTAGTAGCAGTAGTAGTAGTAGTAGTAGTAGTAGTAGTAGTAGTAGTAGTAGTAGTAGTAGTAGTAGTACAGTAGTAGCAGTAGTAGTAGTAGTAGTAGTAGTAGTAGTAGTACAGTAGTAGTAGTAGTAGTAGTAGTAGTAGTAGTAGTAGCAGTAGTAGTAGTAGTAGTAGTAGCAGTAGTAGTAGTAGTAGTAGCAGTAGTAGTAGTAGTAGTAGTAGTAGTAGTAGTAGCAGTAGTAGTAGTAGTAGTAGTAGTAGTAGTAGTAGTAGTAGTAGTAGTAGTAGTAGTCAGTAGTAGTAGTAGTAGTAGTAGTAGTAGTAGTAGTAGTAGTAGTAGCAGTAGTAGTACACAGTTTCCGTTCCGTCGTTGTGGTAGTATTCCGGTGACTTTCCCGAGAATTTGTTCTTTACTCGTCGACTTGCAGCACTCAGAGAACTTCTCCACTGGAACAACACAAACACACACAATTAGAAATATATATAACTGAATAAAATATAATATAATATGATGTAATCTAATATAGACTTAGACAAACTTTACTAAATGATTTGGACACATTTGCTCACACATCACAATAAAATATAATAAAGAAAAAAAATATAAATGGTGATAATAAATTCTAAATAAGTAGCAAAAAAAACCCAAAAACAAATCAAATAAGACATAATTATATAAGTGGAAATGTAAAAAAATAAAACAGAAAAATAAGTAATGGAGCGCTGGGACAATCAGGAGCCACAGGGGGGCGCCAGTCACAAAAACAAACAAAAACTGTCATTGTGTCCTTAAGCAAGACACTTCACCCACATGAGTATGAAAGTGTTTGTGTGTGTGTTGTGTGTGCTGGTGGTGGGAGGGGCCGATGGCACAGACTGGCAGCCTGGCTTCTGTCAGTCTGTCCCAGGGCAGCCGTGGCTACAGTAGAGTGTGTGTTTGTGTTTCCAGAAAAGCGCCGAACAAAACTGATGCTTTATCCAAATATAAAATCAATATAAATATAAATCAAATCTAAATCCACGTCGTTCCTTTATTTTCTATTCATGTGCTCTGTTTTTTAAAAGTATATTTTACACCAGATGCCCTGCCTGTTCTTTACTGTAACTGAGGCAGGGGAAGTGTCTTGCTCAAGGACACAACAACAACAACAACATCTGCTCAATGTCAAACCAGCAACCCGTCGAATCACTTTTAAAGCCCCTTATCAAACTCTTATTGATCTGTGCTCTGATGTAGTAAAGTAAAGTAAAGTTTTTTTGTATCCATGGCGATGTTAGAGCGTGGTTTGAAATGTCCCACAGTGTGGCATTATGTGACGACACGTGTTTTTCAGCTTCAGAAACACTCAGTACGTTTAATAATGTCATGCAGCTTTAGCGGTCGATCTAACCCAGGGGTGTCAAACATATGGCCCGGGGGCCAGGTCCGGCCCTCCAAGACCTTTAATCTGGCCCTCAGCTCATTTTCTACTAAAGTATTTGAATTATATTTTCTATTAAAATCTTGTTAATTTTCTGTGGTGTTTATCACAGCAGCGTCTCCAGCGTCTCTGTACGTGGCCCCTCCCACCAGAGCAGCACAAATGAAGACTTGTCTCTTTCCAAACGCTCTTAAAGGACGATCGTTTTGACTGTTGACCGTGACACCCTCATCAGAAAAATGTCCAACATGAGAAACAGATTATTCCTGTTTACATACAAGTTCATGTTAAAACTTTGTGTTGAAATTATATTTTTCTTAAAGTTTCAGGTTGTTCATAATATTATAATAT